GGCCGCCTCCTGCCGCTGGGCCTCACGGCCATCCTGGCTCTCTCGTACCTTGCGCTGGGCCTCCAGCAGCTCCCGCCGCAGCCCATCACGGGCATCCTCCAGCAGGCGCAGCTGAGTCCGAAGCTCCTCTGCCTGTGAGGACCCTGGTTGTCACTGAATGGGGGTGGGGCCCCACTCAAGCGGGGCCTTGGTGGAAACCAGCCCATCCCCAGGTCCCAGGCCAGGGGGCACCTGCCCCATCACTCTGCATAGACTCAGACCACAGGCGAGAGTTATGATTCAGGCAAAGCAAGCTGGAGCCAGCAGTGTTTGGGTCTGAAATAATCAGGATCATCGTTGGACGATGCCAAAAGGGCAGGGACCACCTTGAGTGCCCCAGTCCCACGTGTACATCACAAGTACTTAATACATGCTTGCTGCCTCCTTTCTCAGCTGGCTGTTCATTTGCCCTTGAATGCAGGAAAGAGCCTTACAATTTTCTGGACCCTCACCGAACCAGGCCCCCAGCAGCATTTAGGGGGTGCTGCCTGGAAGGGTGTGGGGCGGAGGGCTCACCTCGCGCACGCAGGATTCCCGCTGCCTGCCCAGGTCTCGGGCCTGCTCCTGCAGCCTCTTCACCTCCTGAGCATGGGCCGCGGAAGCCTCCTCAAGCTGGGCCCGCAGGTCCCGCAGCTCGGATGTCAGGGTGTTCATGGTGCCCTAGGACAGATGGGCTCCTCAGATGGTGCTGTGTCCCCTTCCCCAGCACCCCACTTTCAGCACCAAGCACGGCCCCTCCCGCTGGCTTGTCAGACCCTCTGTGATCCCTTGATGCCTAGAGAGTGCTGTCTACATGACTAGTCTTTCTCAGACTAGGGGTTCCCTAGGGCAGAGCCGTGCTACCTCCCTCAGGTGGGGACTCCCAGGGAAGGGCTGAAGCTTCCCACACAGTCTGGGGCTTCCCCAGGGCAGAGCCACGCCTCCCCCTCAGACAGGGGCTCCTCCAGGCAGGGCTGTGTCTCCGGCTCAGACGGAGGCCCACCTACCCGGTCCTGCTCCTGCCGGCTCTGAGCATCTCGCTTCTGTCGCTCCATCTCCAGGGAGATGGCGGTCAGGCTGTGCTGTGTACCCACCAGTTTCTCCGTCAGCGCCGTCTTCTCAGACTCCTTTAGCGACAGGGCCTGGCAGAGGCAGAGAGCAAAGGGCCTGGGGGGTGAGTTGATCTTGGGGGCATGCTCGGGCCTTCCCCCCACCCTGCCCTGGGAAATGTGCCCACTGTGGACTTGGGAGCATGACTGGGCCACCACAGGTGGGCCCAGGACAGAGGTACAGGCTCACTCCTCCTAAAGCCCCAGAAAAGGATACAAGAGTAACAGTAACTGGACATGGACACAACTCCTATCTCACTAACATGCTACAGCAACCCTGAAGCAGGGCCCTCCATTATTCCCACTTTACAGACAGGGAAACAGAGGCTCAAGGAGGTAAAGTGACTCGCCCAGGGTGACAGAGCTGGTGAAGAGAGGAAGATGCAGTCTGCCCTGTCCTCATGACGTTATGGAAAGTCGAGAGTTAGTTCTTTTTGAGGAGGGTCAGCTGATACATGTGGGCGTTGTGGGGACTGCTCAGAAGGCAGCCATGGGGACGCCATGCCCAGCCTGGGTGGGAGGGGAGATGGGAAAACCTGGGGCAGCTATTTGCAACCAGTGCTCATGGTGTCACAACTGAGGCTGCCACTGAGTAGGCTCCGACTGTATACCAGGCATGGCTACGGACTCCTAGCTCCTAGCTGCTGGGTGGCTAAGCGGGAACCAGCCCCAGAACCCGGGCCCCTCCAGGGCTCACGAACCTGCTGCTTCTCACTCTCAGCCAGGAGGAGGCCCTCGTCCCGCTCCTGCTGCAGGGCAGCGATCTCCTCGCTCAGCTCCTCCTTCTCGGCCTCCAGCCGGGCCAGCAGCTCCTCCCGCTCCCGCTGCAGCTGACTCTGCAGTTGGGCCCGTTCTGCCTCCAGCTCCCGCCATGCTGCCTCCTGGGGGCCAGGCCCAAGCACATGTGACCCACGAGGCTGCAAGGCCACCTGTACCCCAGACCCTGAGAGACAGGTGATCAGGAAAACTACAAGGTGAAACTACAAACGGCTGCTAAGAGCTGTGGCTGGGACAAGCCAGGGTTGCACGAGCCCCGAGGAGCAGCAGCCCTGGTCTGGGGGTCGGAGAATGTTTCCTGGAGGAGAGACGAGTAGCAGTCAGCAGGAAAAGGGGGGGAAAGAACCTCAGGCCCAGAGTACAGCCCCAGAGATGGCCTGGAGGGAGGAGAGAGCACGGCACACAGGGAAATCATAATATGTAAGGGTCACTGGGCTGTGGACTACGAGGGGAACGTGGTGAGCAATAGGGCCAGAGCCAAGGGCAGCAACCAGGGAGGGGTGGGCCTGCCTCTGAGGACAGTCGGGGCAACAGAGAGCCTGAAGCCAGAGCGATGAGTCTAAATTGTAGACTAGGGTTGTTCAGGAACCGAGAAAAAAGAACCTGGATTCAGGTAGGGGTTGAGGGGAGTTGGGTTGGCTGCGAGGAATAAAAGGGGTTTAGGGCTGCGGGTGGCAGAGTAGCAGGAAAGAGTACAGATTTGGTGACATGAAGAGGACAAGTCAGGCGGGGCAGGGTGGGTAGAACCCACAGGCAAAGAACGCCCCACCTAGGGTCTGAGGGCAGTGCCCGGCACCTTTGTGAAACTTCCAGTGCTTCACTGCCACCTGCTGGACAAGTGTGATACTACAAGGCCAAGGCCAAGACGACACATGGCGCCCCCTGGAGTCCTGCAGGACAGCCTGAACCTCTGACACAGGCAGCCCTGCCCACCGCAAGTCCTCTCCTCCTACGTGAAAATAGCAACCAGCATTTACGCAGCATTTACAAAGTGCCAGTCACTATATTAAGCCCTTTATATGGACTGTCTCACCTCATCCTCACAATCCCCTGTACTATCCTCATCCCCATCGTTACAGATGGGAAAATGAAGGCAGAGACCATAGGTGACATAACCAGTATAACTCATCCTGCAGTCTGGCCTAGATCAGATCCAAACCCAGGCAATGTGACTCCAGAACCAGTGTTCTTAGACAGCTCTGTTCTGTCTTGTAGTGACCTGGCCCCTCACCTTTCGCACTATGTGTTCAGGTCCTAGAGTGGTCCTTCATATGCAAACGGCACTTCTTACAAATGAAAGTGCCTTCCTGAATCAGGATCACCAGGGCTAGACCAGATCCGGGGCCTGGGAATCTGTATGTTTGATAAGGAGTCCCCAGTGTTTCCTCCCAGCTGCTCCCGGGGCCTCCGGAGCAGAAATAAAGTTCTGTTTCACAGAGGTGGAAACCGAGGCAGAGGGAGAAGAATGACTCGCCTGAGACCACAGAGGAGAGAGAGCAGAGCCCCGCCCACCCTGACCCGGCTACCCGAACCTTCTCTCGCTGGAGTCGCTGCACGTCCTCCTCGTGGGCTGCCCGCTGCTCCCGCAGAGAGGCCTGGGCCTCCCGTTCAGCCTGCACCAGCTTCTGGGCCATCAGCTCCCTGTCCAGAGCCGCCTTCTCCTCTGCCATTGTCATCTGCTGCCGGAGGCCTGCCAGTTCTCCTGCACAGGGATGGTGGGAGGGGACAGACTTGGGTCGGAACGGAACCTCCCTGTGGACCAGCAGACTCAGGCCAGGTGAGCCATGTAGGCAGAACCCCAGAGGAGAGAGGGCCCACCAGGTACCTAGCTGGGTTCCCTTGGAGAAGCTCCTCACGCCCTGGGCTTCAGTTTTCCCATCTGCCGCCTGAGCCCACGGGCCCTGCCCCACTCCCTCCCTCCCTGGAATGGCAACAAAGGGATGAAATGTCTGATGGGGAGGCTCCCACAAATGGGGAGGAAAGCAACCCCCATTATGGATTGCTTACTATGGGTCATTTACAGATGAGGATATGGAGGCTCAGAGGAGACAGACAATTTCCCAAAGCTGCACAGCTTTCCATGAGGCGTCTCCCTTAATGACTAATAGCCATAGACAAACTAGGTGGGCTGTTAGCACTAATGGAGGGACCACGGGGAGGGTACAGCCACTGTGGACAATCTAAAAACCATCCCCCCATCTTTCACATTTCCCTTTCTAGTTCTGTCTGGCTCAGGTGGACGAGGACGGGAAGATTAATTTTCATGGTCCAAGAAACCGGGTGGGGCGTGTGGAGAGAAGCGGGGCTGGGACTGTAGGGCCGAGAGAGTCGCTCAGAAAAGCAGCGACGGCTCCACGGAGAACTCGGAACTCTCTCAGTGCCCTGATGACAATAAGCAGACAGGCCTCAAATGCTTGCCTCACGCCTTCCTGGCAACAGCCTTAGAAGGCTGGCAATCACCTCTAACTGTCAGATGAGGAACCTGTGGCCCAGGGGGGAAGGGAATTGCTCAAAAAAGCTCAGATCTAAGCGGCAGCGGCAGGATTGGAACCCAGGTCAGCCAGACTCCAAAGCCAGTGCTCCCAACTTCCGTGAGACCCCAGACCTTGACAGGTTAGTCTGGGTTGGAGTCAGGTATTCCTCACCCACCCCCTGGTCCCCCCATACCAGTCAGGGCCTCCTTGGCCAGAAGCAGGGCCTGCCCATCAGCTTCCAGCTGCTCCCGACGGGCCTCGAGCTGGGCCAGCTGCCGCTGCACCTCAAACAGGCTGCTCTCCAGGGCTTCCTTCTCCAAGCTGCAGCACACAATCCCTCAGGCCTCAGGACTCGGCCTCCCGGGCCCCAGGAAACTGTGGATCCCAGGGCGTGGCCAGCCGTGGGCCAGGTGCCAGCCTACCTGCCCAGCCGGTCCCACGCTCCCTGGGGAAGCCTGAGCCATAGCCAGGACGCATTGGCAAGCCCTGCTCCTCAGCAACTGTGTGTGGGCCAATGCCAGGGTGTGGCTGGTGGCCCCAGGCAGACCCCCGCCCACCCCCCTCAGTGGGCTGGGCAGAGCCTAAAGCCTTACCGCAGGCGTGTGGCTTCCTCCAATAGGGTTCGGCCTTCACGCTCAGCTGCCGCCAGCTGTACAGCCAGACCGGCCCGCTCCTTGGCCAGCGCCTCCTTCTCCCGGGTCGCCCGCTCCAGCGCCTCTACCTGCCGTTGTGTCTCCCGCCGTGCCTGCTCCAGCTCATGCTCCCGCCCACTCAGCTGCCGGGAGAGCTGGCACCCACCCAGGCACTGTGAGCACCCCCCTCCCCCCCAGAATCCCCCAGCCTGCCCACCATGCAGGACCCCAACCCTGGGCCTGAGCCAGCCCTGGCCTAACAGGCAGGAGAGCAGGGTTCTAGCCCAGTCTCCACCCTGATGTGCTGTGTATACTTGGACAAACCACAGACTTCTCTGAACCTGCAACACATACACACGTGAGGGTCCTCACTCAGTTTGGGTCATAACAGAGCCCTTTCTACACCCCTGACCTTCCAGAGAAGCTGAGTATATAAAACAGACCAAGGAGCGCTGCTTTGCAGGCCTCAGAATGGGAACACGGAGCCCTGCTCCCTGCAGCTGTGGCCCATACCCTAGAGGCCCCTCCCAGGAGCCCCGCACGCCATATAAAGGTCACTGTGTCCCTAAGACCCTGAGGTCCCTTCCAGTATGTTGTCCCAACAAGTCTCACATTCCAGTCCTAAAATTCTCCACCTATCATCACATTGGGATTGTTACTGGGAGGTGCTTCAGCTCCCAAGTGCTTCCACGGGTGTCCTCTTCAGAACAACCCTTTGTGATAAGAACGCTTAGCCCCATGGTACAGATGGGGCGACTGAGGCATGGGGAGGTGGAGTAGTTTGCCCAAGGGCCCAGTTAGCAGAGGCGGGGCTGAACCTAAACCCACATTCAGGCTCCTGAGCCTGCGAGTTACCCAGGACAGGTGTCGGAGGCTGGGAGGCTAGAACCCAGGCCCCATCCTCCATCACCCACCTGGGCCAGCTGCTCCTGCAGCCGGCAGCGCTCCTGGCGCAGTGTGGGGACCTGGTGCTCCAGGGCCTCCCGGGCCTGCTCTGCCACCCGCAAGGAGCCCTCCAGGCCCTGTCGATCCACCTCCTGCTCCAGCCGCAGCTGTTCCAGCCGCTCCTGCTCCTCCCTCGCCAGGGTGGCCTCCTGCTCCACTCGCCGCTGCTGGCCCAGCAGGGCTGCCTTTTCCTCCTCCAGCTGTGAGGCCGGTGGGGGTGGAGGTGAGTGAGCAGATCAGCCCAGCCCCTCCACCTGGGGAAAGGGGTCCCACCCGCCCACCTATCACAGAGCCCAGGGAGGCTCCCTCGGGGGAAGGGGCAGTGGACACGGGGGAGAGGGAAGAAGGGAGAAGGGTCCACAGAACTTCTTTTCTCTCAGACCATGAAAGAGGATAGACAGACAGACAGAGTCAGAGACAGAAAGAGGCAGGGAGCGAGACAGAGAGGCGCGGGGACCGAGGTGTTCAGGGAGGTGTACAGAGAGGCAGGATGTGGGCCAAGGCTGGGCCTGAGACGCCTACTGGGGTCTCTGAGTGGGGGCACAGGGGGGTGAGGAGGGGGACATACCTGGGCGACGAGGTGGTTCAGGCCCAGCTTGTCCTGTGCGAGGCTCTCGTTGAGGGCGCTCAGCTTGGACAAGGCGTCCCGAAGAGAGGCCTCCTCCGCCCTCAGCTTGGTCATCGAGAGCTCGAGGTCCATGCGGCCAGCCTCAGCCTGCAGGGGCCAGAACGGGGCGGCCAGAGACAGTCAGGTGGGGAGAGATGGTGAGAGAGGGACAGAGACGGAGCGATGGGAAAAGATGTGCAGAGACATGGAAGATGGGGAGAGGCAAGAGGGTGGGGAGAAACAAGAGACACAGAGACAGGGTAGAGGGACAAGGGAGACGCACGGTGAGAATCACTGCAGAGGCCTAGTGTCTAGGAAGCTACTTAAAAGCTGCTGCATGCCACAGAGCTGTGCAGAGCAGGGCAGAGGGTTCCCAGAGGGGGCTTGGGGGTGGCACTGCTCAGAGCCCAGACTACTGGGAGTGGGGCAGGCACTCGCTAAGGACTGTGCCCCAATCCTCACAGACCCCAGGCCCGGGACCAGAGATGGGCCGGATGACCTGAACTCCAGGCACTGCCCAGGAGCGTCTGGAAAAGCAGGGATACGGCCACTAATAGAGATGAATTCACTTATGTTTGGGGTCAGAGGTTGGTTTGTGGCCTGGGTCAAAGGTTAGCCTGAGTCCAAAAGGAAGGGTTCTGTCTGTGATCAGGGTCAGGGGTCAGCCTGAAATAGGGGTCAGTCTGTGGCCAGGGTGAGAAGGTCTGGGGCCTAGGGCGGAGGTAGGTTTGTGGTTGTGGGGCAAACAGGGACACACCTTGGTCAGCGCCTCGGCCACCTCGGCCTTCTCAGCCTGCAACATGTCCCGCTGCAGCGTGGCACAGCTCAGCGCCTCCCTCACCTCCACCAGCTCCTTCGCCAGCCCTGAGCGCTTCACCTCCAGCTGCTCTAGTTGTCTAATGCTGTGGGACAGAAGGCGGGGGGTGCCCCATGTCACTTCCCTGCCCTGCGTCTCCCTCAGCCAGCCAATCTGGAACAGGCTGGGGGTCAGGGCTGAGGCAGGAGCTCTGGTGGCAAGAGCCTTACCAGAAGGACAGCCAGGGTCACCGCCTTTTGGCTCTGTGACTCTGGGCCTCAGTTTTCACATCTGCAAAATGGGCCTCACAAAGTTGTTATAAGGATACATGACTTACTTAAGAATACATGAAATATGTAGGATAGTGCCTGACATAGCTCCACAAGGGCTTTTAGAAACAAGAATAATGTACTGGATATCATTATGACTTATGTCTCAGAGAAGTAAACAGTGCAGTGGTTAAGAGGTTAACTCTTTAGAGTGATGGACAGAATGCTTGGGTTCAAATCCTGGCTCTAACTAGCTGTGACTTTAAGGAAATTATATGACTTCTCTGTGCCTCAGTTTTACCATCCATAAAATGGGGCTAATAACAGCTCCTACATCATAGAGTTATCCTGAGGGTTAAATAAGATGATCTAATTGTTTAAAATGATATTAATACTAATATTACTGTAACTTTAATTTTTAAAAATAATGTTAATATTACTACTGGTATTTTAATTATTGTTATTATTACCATCCACACGCTTCCTTCCTCCAGTTCTCGGGTCCCAGGTAAGTGACTGTACCTCCCTGAGCCTGTTTACCGAGACAGGACTGATCAGAAGACCCCACACCGGAGGACTTCTCAAGACGGTAGGAGGCCAGGTGCTCTCTAGCCCCCAGGGACACTGTCAGGAGCCCCAAAGCCCATTCAAGTGGCCTTGGCAGGGAGGCCAGAAGCTACGAACCTCCGCTCGAGCTCCCTGCGTGCCCGCGCACGATCCTGCTCTGTGTCCTCCTTCTCTTCCTCCAGCTGGTCCCGCTGGCGCCGCAGCTCCTCCTGTGTCACCTGTAGTTTCTCCCGCTCCTGCCGCAGCTCCTCAGCCTGCTGCTGGGCCGCCTGCAGGCTATGGGCCAGGCTGTCCTTCTCCCTGCAGGACCAGGGGTAGAGGAGCTGAAGGGGATGTTGGGGCTGCTCCCATCGGGAAAACAGCAGTGCTGCTGTCCTACATGTGAGCCAATTCCTCCGTCCTCTAAGGCACATGCCTCCAGGAAGCCTTCCCTGACCATGTCCACGACCAACTCATTTCATCTACCTCTCCCTGAAGCTGACTCATCCCAGCAGAGGGAACCTTCTCCCCCAAACTGCCCACTTGGGGGCTCAGTGGAACAGATAGAGGCAGTGGCACTATCTCCACCAGGTTGAAGAGGTTAGGCTCCTGAGATATGTGGGCAATTGTGCTGCCAGCTTGCTAGTCCATATGACCAGAAATGCCTCTATAACCCTCCAACCCCTGTCTGGGAGGCCCAGTGGAGCTGGGTCTGTCCAGATCTCAGAGCTTCCTGCTGCACAGGCCAGCAGCACATGGTAGCCAGAGCAGGACAGGGGGAGGCAGCAACTGGGAACTCTGACCATTTGCAGGGTGTTGCCATTCTCCCAACTCCAGCAGTCACAAGCAACGGGGAGGGTGCCTCCTGAGCCAGCTGGGGTTTCCAGCTCAGGCTGGGGGCCGATGGTGGTCATATCTTTCACTGTCCCGCCTCATCGCTTCAAGTAGTAACCCTTAAGCCAGCGGTTCTCAACCTGTGGGTCACAACCCCTTTGGGGGTTGAACAACCCTTTCACAGGGGTCGCCTAAGACCATGGGAAAACACATATATAATTACAGATTGTTTTTGTGATTAATCACTATGCTTTAATTATGTTCAATTTGTAACAATGAAATTGGGGGTCACCACAACATGAGGAACTGTATTAAAGGGTCGCGGCATTAGGAAGATTGAGAACCACTGCCTTAAGCATACAAGACATGATAGCTGGCAGTAGGTGGAAAAACATACACCGTGATAGTAAGTAAAAATAGCAGAATGCTAAGTGAGGTGTCCGTTGTGCACACAATATAAAAGCCTTCTCCTTCCAAGGCACGGGCAGCATTGGTTTTGCTATCAGTTCCGATTCCTATCCCGGCCACACCCTGTGAGCTTGGACAAGCCTCTCAAGCTTTGGCAGGAAGACTAATTGGAGATTATACACATAAAATGCCTGGCCACGAGCCTGGCACACAGAAGGTGTACAGGAAACGTTTGCTACCTCACTGCCAGAAAACATACACATATGGCTCGTTAGGACCATATTGGTGCAAATCTGCACGCTTACAGGCTGGGGCTGGGGCTGGGCCCAGACACTGATTGATTCTCCGAGGCCCCCACTTCCGACCTCCCAGGCACCTGTTCAGGAGATCGATGGCACTCCGCAGACGCTGGGCCTCGCGCTGGGCATCCTCCTGGGCCTGGGTGGCCCCATCGGTCTTGTCCCGCAGACGCTGCAGCTGGTCCTCTAGGGCACGGCGCTCACCCTCGCTGTCACTAAGCTGCTTCCGCAGTGTGCCCAGGAGGTCCTGGCTGGCCTCGTAGCGCCCACGCATGTCCTGTGGCATGGGAACCCCTGAGTCTGGGGGAGCCACTGAGCCCTCAGAGCCCCCTGCTCCTGTGCTAGTTCCAGGGATGTACAGCAGCCTATTCTGTGGCCTAGGCCTGATGCAGGAGGGTGGCTAGGCTTCCACTCCCTATGCTGAGCCCTCCACCTGGACTCTGAGCCTCCATCTCCCTGAGGTCCCCAGCAAACCCAACCTAAGTACATTCCCTCCCCAGGCTCCGCCCCCAGCTGCCCAAGCCCCTCCCACTCGGGGGGCTCAGATTCTACCCGAGCTCTCAGCCACCTCCAAGAATCCTGACTCCCTTCTCAGGGCTCGGACTCCACCCTGGGATGCTCACGCTCCGCCCCCAGAACACTGGCTCCGCCCCTGGCCTGCCCAAACCCCTCCTCCAGGACGCTTGGGCCCCTTGCTACCTGGACCTGTAGCTGGCGTTTGTGCAGGGCGGAGTGGATCAGGGCGAGCACGGAGGAGTCCGAACAGGCTGGGGATGGGCCTCGGCGCGGGGAGCGACCGCGGCCGGGCGAGGAGCGCCTCGATGGGGATGGGGTCCGGGGGCCAGAGAGCCCCCGCAGACTGCTGTCTGACGCATCAGCGGTGTGCTCGGAGCCACTTAGCTGGACACCGCTCTCCATGTCGGACAGAACGGCCTGCGGGGTGGGGTAGGGAGGCAGAGGAGCGGGGCAGTAGGGAGGTTAGTTGGGCAAAGACGCCCAGTAGGGGCAGAGGGGTCGCAGGGGCCATGTGACGAGCTTCATCCCCAAATCTGCGGCACAGCCTAAGCTCCCTTCCAACAAGGCTTCTGATTCCGCTTCCACTAGCTCACAGCCCTCCCGCCAGGTGCGGCCTCCCATGTATTGGGAAGACATCACTCGGCCTTTCTCACAGATGGGCCTGAACTTCTGGCAGGCAGGACCCCAGGTTCCCCAACCACTGGCAGTTCTGGTCAAGGCCACCAAAGGAGCTGGCGGCCCTGGACTGCCGGGCCTTGCCCTGCCCAGGGCTCCCACCCTCTGGCCTCTCCGGGCTCCCTCCCACCTCACACCTGTGCCAGGTCCCTCAAGGTCTGCTGCAGCCCCTCGCCCTCCTCTGTGTCCAGGGCGGGCTGCTCCTGGAGCTGCAGGGCTTCCTGGAGTGGTGGTGAAGAGACGAGGAGAGGGTGGTCAGGGTCTGTGCCCTAATCCGAAACCTACTCATTCCCTCCCTGGGCCCCCACCCACCAGGCAGCCTCGAAGGCCATGGCCATAGTGCAGCCGCTCAGTCACCTCACAGCAGCCCTAAGTGCCCTGAACAGACGAGGCCCAGAGAAGTGCAGTGTCCCACCTCAGGTCACACAGCCTGCTGGGGAAGAGCTGGACATAGAACGGGGCCTGGCCCCACACAGAAGGGTGACCAACCCAGGCAGCACCTTTGAGGGTGTCCCTCGGGTGGGGAGGCAGCTGAGTTCCAAGAGAAAGAGCCCTGGACTAGCAGATTACAGGCATGAGCTCAAGTCCTGACTCCCCAGTCTGAGTCTCTGGACAAGTATTTCCCCTTGGGCCTCGGGTTTCTCAGCTGTATAAGGCAGCGGTTCTCAACCTGTGGTTCGCAACCCCCTTGGCGGTCGAGCGACCCTTTCACAGGGGTCGCCTAAGACCATCCTGCATATCAGATATTTACATTACGATTCATAACAGTAGCAACATTACAGTTATGAAGTAGTAACGAAAATAATTTTATGGTTGGGTCACAACATGAGGAACTGTATTTAAAGGGCCAGAAGGTTGAGAACCACTGGTATAAGGGGATCCTGATACAGGGCTGCTGAGAGGATGAAATGGGATAAGAGTTAAATGTGCTCACACTAAGCCTCGCACACACTAGATGCTCAATTAATGAGGGTGATACAGTCTGAGTGGGAAGCTCCAGGGTGGCCCAACAGCCCGGCCCTCAGCCTGTGCCCACGGGTCTGGTCAGTGCCCCATCCCGCCCTGCCACACCTCGAGGGCAGCTGCATCTCACCAGGGCCTCAAGCTTCTCAGTGAGGGCCTTGTTGACCCGATCCTTCTCCAGGTTCTGGTTCTGAAGGCGCTCCACTGTCAGGGCCAGCTCTGTCACTCTGGAGGTGGAGGAGCAACAGAGGTGAATGGGAGACTCACCCCAGCTTGTCCTCCAACCCTTCAGCTCTGTGTCCTGCACGCTTCCCCAAACCTGAGGCAGGGACCCTAGGATTCACTTCCCTAGTTGTATGACCTTGAGCAAGTCACTTCTGTCTGTAAATGAGAATGAATGAGGTTGCCCCCCCACTTTGTCTCCTGGGGAAGCACCCTGGGACTTGTCGAGGTTGTAGGAGCTGGAAACAAATTTGGTATCAGAGGTTGAACTGCTTGTGATGTGCCCTGGTCAAGAGCCCCCTGGACCTCAGTTTCCCACTCTGCCAACGGGGTGTCTGGGAAGACTGGCTGAGCTCAAGCCCGTCCCCAGTGAACAGACCCCTCCTCCCCTGCCTCACGTGGCACCTACCAGGCACCCACCTGGCATTGAAGTCGGCCTTGTCCAGGTTGCTTTGCATCTGCAGCTGGGCCAGGCCCTCCTCCTGCAGCACCTTGCCCCGCAGCTGCTCCTCCAACTGGGCCTGCAGCAGCGCCTGCTTCTCCAGGGCTGCCTCGGCCCGGCTCTCGGCCAGCTGCAGGCCCGCGCTCAGCCCCAGGCCCGCTTCCTGGACAGCTCGTGAGGTCCGGGCCAGCTCCCCTCCCAACTGCAGCAGATCTCTAGTGGAGAGAACACACAGCAGGGATGGGATGGGGGTGGGCTCCCAAGCGTCAATTAAAACTACACTGGGATGCCATTTGTCACTATTAGAATGGGGGGAAAGTCACATAATGCACCGTGTGGGTGAGGCTATGGGAAAACAGACCCTCCCCCACACTGCTGGGAGGGCAACCACAGCTGAGGGCGGTTAGAAAGAGCTCTGAAAACGACTAACTGATGGGCTCTTCGTGACCCACCAACTCCACTTCTAAGAATTTATCCTACAGAGATGCCTCAACACCTGGGAAATGGCCTGTGTATAAAGTGATGCCCTGCAGCATGCTCAGGCCAAAAATGCTGGTGCAACCTAAATAGCCATCAAAGGGGACTGCTCTTAACATGACACATGCATTCTGTGGGATATCTGTAGCCGAGAAAAACAAATGGGGAAGCTCTTCAGAGCCTGAAATGGAACCACTCCCACTGTAACTCAGTTAGAACGATGCGGTGAAGAAAGCATCTTCAAGCCCTGGCTGGTATCCTGGTTGGTTGGAGCATCTCCCCAATGCACCAAGGTTGCGGATTCAATCCCCCGTCAGGGCACATGCAAGAATCAACCAATGAATGCATAAATGGGTGGAGCAGCAAATCAATGTCTCCCTCTCTCTAAAATAAATTATTAAAAAAAAAAAAGCATCTTCAAGAACTGCAAAGATGAAATTCTACACAGAATATATAAAAGGGTGTGCGTGTGTGTGTGTGAGAGAGAGAGAGAGAGAGAGAGAGAGAGGGAGGGAGAGAGATATCTGCTGTATTTGCTTGTATAAAAGAAGCCTGAAGGCCCTAACCGGTTTGGCTCAGTGGATAGAGCGTCAACCTGCGGACTCAAGGGTTCCAGGTTCGATTCCGGTCAAGGGCATGTACCTTGGTTGCGGGCACATCTCCAGTAGGGAGTGTGCAGAAGGCAGCTGATCAATGTTTCTCTCTCATCGATGTTTCTAACTCTCTATCCCTCTCCCTTCCTCTCTGTAAAAAAATCAATAAAATATATTTTTTAAAAAAAAGAAGCCTGAAGGCATATTGCTTGCCTCCAGGAGAGAGAGAGGAGTGTCTGAGGCCAGGGGTTGGAGGGGGCCTTTTCACCATACACCCTTTTGAAATTGGAATTTATGAATATATAAATTATTCAAAAGTAAAATATTAGGTCCTGGCCAGTGTGGCTTGGTTGGTTGGAGCGTCCTCCCATACACCGAAAGTTGGCAGGTTCGATTCCCAGATCAGACACATGATCCCCGGTTAGGGCACAGGCAGGAGGCACCCCAATCGAGGTTTCTCTCCCTCTTTCCCTTCCTCTCTCTAAAATCAAATTTTTAAAAAGTAAAATTTTAAATGCTAACTAAAAATAGAGCATACTTTAAATACATCAAATGGGTTAAATCCTCTCGTTTCCTGAATGAACGGTACCACAGGGTATCTAACGCAAGGAGAGGAGGTGACTCATTAAGGAAGAATCCCAGCTGAGACAGGAAGGAGTGACGGGAGATGATCACAATCTTGCAACCCTGATGAATGCCTGGGCCTTAGCACTGAGCATCTGAGGCTGCCCGTGCACAGAGACGCCCAGGCATTCGGGGTCTCCTGATGAAAGAGCACCCAGCACTATCGAAGAAGCCTTATAAAAAAACCCAAAGAAACTAACAAAAAAAACCCTGAACCTGAATCTGATCAAGCCTTAAATCCAACGTCCAGTTTACAAGAACCACAGGGGACAAAGGTGTTAAATGACACCGCAGAATCCAGACTGTGGGAAACTTCGGACAACTGTCCCAGTTTCCTGAACAAATAACAGAGATTAAAGGACAAATCAGCCCATCGCATTTTGTGAACATCTGCGGGTCCTGATTCAAACACGCTGTCAGGACGAGAAGTGAAGCAAACCATCTGTGACATTGATGAGTCCATTGGGAATCTGGACACACTAAATATTTGATATTTTAACAAAAGATCATTAAATACATTTTTAATGTAAAAAAGGAAACAAATTGGTCTCCCTGTCTCTGGGCTCTCCCCACACCCTCACCTGCTCAGCCCAAGCAGGACCGAGCCCCCGGCCGGAACACGCCAGTCCCCTCCAGCCCCCTGCTAGCCCCCTCTGTTCCCCTGCCTCTCTCTCCAACCTCCCCCCCCACCCCCAGTGCCATTTCTCCCGCCTTCACGCCTTTGCTCAGACTGTACACTCTGCCTGGAGTGCCCCAGCTCTGCCAGTTAAAATCCCACCCATCCCTGAGGTCAGTGCAAATTCCACCTCCTCTATGAAGCGTCTTTCTGACCCTCCCATCCTTGTGAGAATTGAGGACATTCTCTGTTCCACTTTCATGTCACTGACCACTCACTTCCTTGGTCTAGAATTTGGGGGGGGGGTGTCTATTTCTTTTTATCACTAGAGGTGGTAAGGTCCTTGGTAGTAGAAGCTGAATATTCTAGTGGATTAAAAGCAGTTGTCAATCCTACTCAGCCACTTACCACTGTGTGACCTTGGAAAGGTCATTCTGCCTCTCTGAGCCTCAATGTCCTCATCTGTAAAATGGGAAATATTACTATTCCTACTTCACAGAGATGCTGTGGATATGAGATGAAATGAAATGTACAAAGAGCCTAGCTCAGAGGAAATACCTAGTAAATGTTGACTGCCACGATCATAATAAGAGTTCATTATTATAGTTGCTTCTGCATCTCCAAGGGCCCGTAGGTGTGTTGGGTTGGACTGAAGTTCAACTGAGTTGAGCTGAATTCAACTTAAAAAGTGGGTGCCCACCTAAGCCAGTTTGGCTCAGTGGATAGAGCATCGGCCTGCGGACTGAAGGGTCCCAGGCTGGATTCCGGTCAAGGGCACACGCCCGGGTTGTGGGCTCGATCCCCAATGGGGGTCGTGCAGAAAACAGCCGATCAATGATTCTCTCTCATCATTGATGTTTCTATCTCTCTCTCCCTCTCTCTTTCTCTCTGAAATCAATAAAAATATTTTTTTAAAAAGAAAAGAAAAATGATGTTTTAAAAAAAAAAGTGGGTGCCCCCCAGCTGCTGCTGCAGCATCTCCCCACATCACCCCTCCGCCAGCCGGGCCTCACCTCTCGGTAGACATCTTCACCTCGTTGACCAGCCGCCGGACCCCCACAACCTGCCTCCAGAGGAGGAGCAGGCGGCTGTGCTCGTTGCTGAAGTAGGCGTTGAAGGACTGGAGGGAAGACAGGGTGAGTGAGGGGCTGCGGGGAGGGCCACCCGCTTCTGCCCCAGCTCTGACCATCCTGGGAGGCACTGTTGCCCAGGGAGGGGGTCTTCCTGGTGGGTCAGGTCTGGGCCTGCACACAGGGCTGTGTCGAAACTGTCAGCCTCTCACTCCCAAGCCTCCCTCTGGCACTGGAAAATGGGTTTCAATGGCCCTGCAGTCCCAAGAGGCAGCGAGAAAGGGCAGAAAGTGCTGGCACTGAGGTTTGCACCCCAGCCGCACGGCCGGGCAGGTTACTAACCTCTCTTTAAAATGAGGACGACAGCACCTACCATGCTCAGTTATTCTGAGAAATAGGGAAGAAATGAACACTCAGCACATGGAATGTGCAATCAAGGCCAACTATGATTATGACAACTATTTACCTCTCCTAACGGGCTCCCGTGGCCAGCAGGGCCCTCCCGCTCCTTCTCCCGAAGCCTGAGTCCTCTCCACTCTACAAAGACCCTTCCCCTTGGCTCAGGCTGGACCCACCAGGCCCCACTGGCCTCCCAGAACCCAGTGCCCACCTCCTCCTCACGCCTCCACGCCGCCTCCCGCTGCTCCAGCTCCTTGCGACTGCGTGACCAGTCACTGGTCACCTTGCGTATGTCCTCTCTCAGAGCCTGATTGGCTGAGCTCGCCTGGTCCAGCTGCTCTCGGAGCATAGAGTTCACCTGGGCCAGGCTGCTGCTCCTGGGTGGGACCAAGAGGGACCAATGGGCTCAAGGCTGGAGAGGACCGCCCTGCCAGCCATCTCCTCTTCCTGCTGGGTGCCCCACCTCTGCTGCTCCTCCTCCAGGCGGGTGAGGGCGCTCTCCAGGTCTCTGCTGTGCTCTGTGTCCTGGGTGGGAGAAGTGGGCATCAGGTTGGGCACGAGGAGGAAAGGGCCTGCCCTGCCCTGCCCTGGCACCCACCCTCAGCCGCTGCTGCTCCAGCTCTGTGGATCTCTCCAACAGCTGCTGCTCCAGCTCTGAGCCCTTCTTCTTGTACTGGAGAATCTGGGGATGGGTGGTGAGCAATGGTTAGCCCCAGGGGGTGGGGGCAGGGCAAAGTGAGCAAGCACATTGGGTAGGCAGGAGCAGGAGTGGGCGGCCCTGACCTTGGCCTGCAGCCGTTGCACGAGCTGGGCTTGCCGCTGCTGGCCCTCCTGGTAGGCCTGCAGCTTTCGCCGGTAGGAGGCCTGCTCCTCCTGCAGCTGCCTCCGCAGCTCCACGCTCTGCCGTACCAGCCCCCTGGGCTCCTGCGTTTCCAGCTCCCCAGACTCCAGCCGCACAGCCTGCTCCAGCTGCAGGGAAGGGCCCTGGGTGAGAGTCCTCCGTCTCCAGGGAAGGCAGACACAGGCCTCTGCAGGGAGCACCAGGCTGGGCCCAGACCCACAATGCCTTGCAGGCACATTTGGGCAAGTCTGGATGCAATGCACATACGCATGGCCTAAGGCAGCCATGCCTGGACACACAGACGGGGCATGCATGGACACACAAACATGTGCATGCAAAACACAAAGAAGACGCACCTGGGGTAAACCTTAGAGGCCCTGGTGCACTGTGAGCCTCTCTTCCAAAGCAACTAACCCCACTGTGGTTGATGATTCTTAGATCCGTGTCCATGTCTTCCCACCACAAACCCAAGTGAGCTCAGGAAAGCCTGTTGTTCCCATTGTATCTTAGGCTTACAGCAGTGTTAGTGGCATGTTCATTAGGATCATGAATTAATGGCATAAGCACATGTGAATACATTCAAACAGAGGCATCAATGCATGCCTACTGAGCTCAGAGACATGCACACACATAAGGCACACAGGCGGTGTCAAACATCCCCAGGGTGACACAGATGAACTCCTCGGCCTGCCCCGACTCCCTCACAGGCAGCACTCAGATTTGTAAGAGGTGCACACGCATGTTCTATACCGTGTGGCTTATTAATGCCCGAGCCCCGGCCCGGCCTCAGGCTCCCACCTCTCCCTGACCTCATAGAAAGCCTCTGCTGCCAGCGCCCTTCCTTCACCCCCCGGTGGCTTAGCCGCTCCATCATCAGACCCTGTAGGCACAGGAAGGAGGCCTGCCTGGCTCTGGCTGCTCCAACAGCCTTGGAACCCTCTATCCTCCTTAGGCACCTGCTGGTCCCAGGGGGCCCCTCAGACTCCACCTGTGGGGGAAGGAACTGAGGATGAGTGGGACTAACAGGAGCGACAGTGCCCAGGGAGAGCCAACAGGAAGACAGCCCAGCCCAGTGGACTCTGGCACCAGCCCACACTCACCATCTACAGCCTGGGCAGGGCATTCACACGTCCACCCACGCTCAGTCCCAGGGCAGCCAACGGCAAAGACAGCTGCTCGCCCCCACACTAATAACGGGGCCAGGTTAGTGGCAGGTGCCGGTTCCCTCCAGCTGTTTCCTGCACTGATCCAGTACGCCCAGGACATGCTTAAGGAGCCACTGAGAAAGCTGGAAACAACTTCCTCTCTGCCTCCCCCCTACCCGCAAGGACAGCACTGGGGCAGGGTGACTGTGGCCACTGGAGCCACCCACAGGGAGGGGCTGGTGGGGGCTTCAATTCAAGTTGGGGGGAACAACTCGGTCTGCAGGTGTGGGCGGAGGTGGTATGTGGGTCTCTGTGAAGGCTGGGCTGCAGGCCTGTGACCAGTGTCTGCAAGCCGTCCACCTCAGTCAGGGGACCAGCAGTGTCCACATCTGAGCGTGCCGGCGGTGGCACTGAAATGCTGTGTGTTGTGCCTCGATGCAGGTGCATCTCACGGGGGTGAGTGGGGAGTATTTTGTCGTTTGTCTCCACCTGGGACCCTGAGCGTCTCCGTGTCTAGGCCTTCGGGGGACCTGAGAGAGGTGGTGTCTGTGGTCGCAGGTCTAGATCGTGGTGCAGGTGGGTACGTCTGTGTGTACCCGTGTGTTCACATGTTTGTGAGTTGGAGCGTGTGTCTGGCTCTGAGTGTCTGTGATGTGTGTGTCGGTGACTCTGTTCTCTGTGCTGACCTTTGGCTGTGTGTGTCCCCAACATGTGAGACAATGTGTTGTGTTGTGCGCAGGATGGATACATCACTGCTGTGACTGTGCACCTGTGTGAGACATTCCACACCTGGGTGGGACTGGGTGGTGTCTGGCCGTGGGTGCAGACTCTGCTGTGGTGTGTTTGTGCATTTGTGTATGTCTGTGTGGGTCTGACTGTGGCCTGTGCTGTGTGTTCTACACAGGTGTTTGGGCCAGGTGCTATCTGCTTCTGTGATTTAGAGGGGTTCAGGCAGTCCTCAGGTACTCCACTTGCTTCCCCAGGGCTCAGAGCCAGGCCCGGGTCACTCCCAACCATACCTCGCCCCTTTCCACGAACTTCACCCCTCACAAAACAGCCTTTCAATTTTACTAGTAATTCAAAAGGAGAGAAGGGGATCACCAAGCCAGGGATGAAAGAAGTTTACAGTCTCCCCTAGCAACCACTGCCCTAGTACCGTTATTATTCGAGTCACTCTGTCCAGGTTGCCATGGACACAGGGAGCCCAGGGGGCCCATTCTGTAGAATCCAGGGGAGTGGCCATTCCCTCCTTCCCATCCCAGCTGCCTCACCCAACACCTGCTCCTCAGGGACAGGAAGAATGGGGTGGGGGTGGGGGGCTCCACAGGGAGCTTAAGGGCCTCCTTCTGAACTTGGAGGTGGCTGCTGGGAGCCCTTTGCCTGTCTCCCTACATGCAATCAACAGGACACAAATCCCTACCTCACCTCCACTCTCTTTTCCCAGGGATGCTGTGGCCCGCCAACCTAGCCCACATGCAACAGTTATGGCCACAGGGGCAACCCTGCCACCTGCAGCATGGGGACAAGGGGGCAGCAGGGACAGACAGTGCCACGGGCCCTCAGAGCCCAGACCAGGGCCTCATCCCAGCTCCACCGCTGCCCCTGGGCCCATCACACTCATATCTGGGTCTGTTTCCCCACCTGCAATAGGTGATCTCCAGGCTCTGATGTTCTCTGTGACCCACGCTGCCCCAGAAAGGCCCGGAGGTCATGCTCATGCAATCCCTGCCTCCAGGGGGGGCACTGACACCATCTCCCGAGGACAGTCAAGCACCAGGTTCATTCTACAAGTTACTCGGGGTCTCCCTGGCCACATGGTGGAATTTTCTAGACTTAACGCAGACCCCCTGCTCCCGTGCTGAGGCCCCAGCCCCAGCAGCCGTGTCCTAGTAGAAAAAGGAACCTGTCGCCTGTCCCCTCTTCTTCCCTTCTCCTGCCAGCCAGGGGGGCAGTGCTGGCTTCATTGTCAGCCAGAACCTGGCATTTAAGAGGCAGCCCCCCATGAGCCTGGCAGCGTGCCAGGGGCCAAAAGATGAGAGGCCTAAACTGGGAGGGGGTTGGCTCGGGGCCCCATCATCACCAACAATGTGGAACTCGAACCAGCTGGCCCTCCACACCCCCTGCAAACCTTGGGAAGACTGGCTCTGACTATCCCCAGGGCTGGGGGCCTGCTCCCTGCAAGTCCCAACAAGTCAGGGGCCTGTCCGGGCGGGCAGACACCAGGACACAGGCACAGCCTCCAGCCACACTCAGAACTGCTCAGCCCTCGTCCCTACAGGGGTGTGCAAGCCCCCGCATGAGCAGATTGGCGCCGGGGTCCTGGTACCACACAGGGGACCCTGAGCAGCTTCAGTCTCCCATTTGCAACATCAGAACGTCACGTCTGAGGTCCTTCCAGCTTCCCAGGGGCCAGTTGCCCCCTGGGATTCCCAGCCCAACTGTCTTTTCCCACCCCAAGAAACAAAGCTGTAATGCAGAGCCCTGCGCTGGGAGTCGAGAGACTAGCATTCATTGGCGGTGTGACCCCAAGCACAGTGCCTTCCCTCTCTGAGCCTCCATTATCTCCTCTGTTAATGAGCATCACAGTGGTCCCACCCTTGGTGCATTACATGTAAAGCACCCAGCACCTGTCTGGCAAGTAGGCATTTGATAAATGGTGGCTGCTATTACGACTGTTAGTAATACGCACGCATTTTCCATCTACACACATTCTCCTTCCCTCACGCAACTCTTCCACCACTTGCAGCCACCACCAACTCCCCAGGGTCACCTCCTAGGAGTCTGGAGGTCCAGAGAAGACAGTGTACAGAGGACAACCTGCACCTCTGGCCCTGGCCACACCGACCTGCTGGCCAGGCCCTGGGACCCCCGCAAGCCTGAGGCAGTCTCCCTGGCCACATGGTGGAATTTTCTAGACTTAACACAGACCCCCTGTCGCCCAGGCTCAGGTTCCCAGGGGAAGTGAACCCGTCTGGACTTGGAGGCAGGCCTGGCCTCTCCTCCCATGGCTGGGCCTCACCCCCACGGGGAGTGTGGCTGCCTGTGCCTACCCCAGTCATGCCGCAGAGCCCAGCCACTGTTGGGTAAAGCCCAAAGCCCATCCCCACTACAGAAAACAGACTCCAAGCCCGATTGGCATGGCTCAGTGGTTGAGCGTCAACCAATGAACCAGGAAGTCAAGGTTCGATTCCCAGTCAGGGCCATGCCTGGGTTGCAGGCTAATCCCCAGTGTGGGGCGTACAGGAGGCAGCCGATCAATGATTCTCTCTCATCATTGATGCTTCTCTCTCTCTCCCTCTCCCTTCCTCTCTGAAATCAATTTTAAAAAAAGAAAAGAAAACAGACTCCAGGAGCAGAGTGATTTGCTCAAGGCCATTCAAGTTGGCTGAGCCACAGTTCGAACGCAGGCGGGCCTGAGTCCAGGCACACCTTTTTGCACAGTGTGCAGGCCTGCCCTGGACATCTCCCTGACCTCACATCCAGGGAGCAGCTGGCTCAGCTCTCAGCCCCCAGGCAGCACCCACCCTCTCGCTGACCGCGTTGTACTTGATGGCCAGCTCATCACGCTCGGCACGGCTCTGGGCCAGCAGGTCCTCCACGCGGGACAACTCCTGCTGCAGCAACTGGTTCTCCTCCTGCAGCGACAGCATTGATGCCATCTCTGTGGCTGACAGCAGGGCTGGAGAGGGACAGCAGGCATGTGGTTAGCTTCCAGCTGGGTCCAGGGAGACATCTTCCCTTTCCCCTCCAGGTGCCCTACCCATCAGTGGAGGCAGGAAGATGGACCAGGACTCAGGAGGAGCCTAGGTAGGAGTGGATGTAGCACCAGGTCACACAAACAGAGAACAGGAAGGTGGGCAAAGCCACGGGCCTAGGGCTAGACTTAGAGTGGACACAACTACAGCTGAAGTGTGGCCCCAGCAGGCCCAGGAGGTACAGGAAGGAGGCTCATTAGGAGTCAGGAGACTAGGCCCCAAGTTCTAGCTCCTTCCTTCTGCAGCTACTGCTATTCTCTGGACCTCAGTTTTGCAGATCTGTAAAATGGGTGGAACAGTAACCAGACCCAGGAGAGCAGGTAACTTCTGAGACCAGGGCTCAGGTTAGTCAGGTTGTAAGGAAGAAAAGGAGGAAGTAGAGGAAAAAAGGAGAGGCCACAGGGAAAAGGAACCCCATTTTGTGGGCTCCCTTCCACCTGATGGAACTGGACATATGCCATAGGCCTCTCGGCTCTTTCCCCCGGGGGAGGGCTCTCTAAGTCCCTGTCTGTGGCTCCCAGGGGCCCCAAGGAGGCTGAGGTTAGACAAGGACCATGGCAGGAACACCAGGAACACCCCCAAGGAGAGCTGCAACCTCCAGCTGGGACTGAGTGTGCCCCTCCCAGACTCTCAAACCGTGTATTTGGTGTGAGTTCCACCCACCAGGAGCAGGGGCCCATCAGCCTTCCTGGGGGGCGGGGGACAGATGGACAGTACCACCCCTTGGATTTCTGCAAAGCCCTGAGCTAAACTGAACCCCCCCCCCCCCCCCCCCCGCCTTATAATCTCGGGTTCAGCCAGCTCACACCTTCCCTGGGAAAGAATATGGTGTTTGGGGTTTAAGTCTTGGCAACAAGGAGGGGATGCTCAGCCCTGCCTTCTAGCAGCAAAACGTGGGGAACACATCGGGGCAAATTACACCTCTAAGCCTCCTTTTCCTCATCTGTAAACCGGTGTACCTGCCTCCCAGTGGGGAGACGTGGAAGCTGCAATCATTATTGTTATCATGACTACTGAGCAGGGGCTGTGAGAGGAGGGAGGATGTGGGCAGTGGCTGTGCAGGGGAGAGGCAGGATGGTACCTGGGCTCTCAGGCTTGGAGAAGTTTCGGGTGACGATTTCCCTGAGGACAGCAGGCAGGTGGGCGGGCTGACAGTCCTGGGCCGGGTCCTGCACACTCAGGCCGGTCTCCTGACCCGGCCCCAGGACGCTGCTCTCCAGTGCCTGCGGGGAAAGAGAGGGTCTGAGGGAAACCTGGGACCCTGGGCTCTGTGGCCTGAGCGGGAAGGAGCAAAGTCCTGTCGCCCAAGATGTGGGTGCCCAGGAGACCGTCAAGAAATCCCCCAAATGGATAGAAGCCTGGGAGTTAGAATCACAAAAACCGCCCCCAGGAAGGACACGCTTGTGTGCCTGCCAGGAAAGGGGGCTCCTCCAGGGCCAGAGAACCAAACCCCACAGCTGGCTCCAACCCAGCTCCAACCCAGATAGGTGAGGATCCCACCCTAACCCCAAAATCTGGGAGGAGGGACCCCCATCCTCCGCAGGGCACTGGGATACGGGAGCCACAGCAGTTGAGCCCCGCATACCCCTCTACCCTGAGTCCAGTCAGGCTGGGGGTGCAAACTGGAGCCCCTGTGCACCTCACCACCACACCTCTCCCACCACGGGACCCCCAAGATGCATCCACTCCTCACCCGCTCCTTCCAGAGCAACTGGATGGGGTGGGCACAGCCCGCAGGACCCACCTGGATAACGGTCTCCAGTGCCAGCTGGACCTCCAATGACCCCCCCAGCCCCAAGCTCATGGGGGGAGGCTGCGGGCACCCCTCTCCAGGCCCTTCTCCCAGGCCCCAGACTAGCTCAGTCCACACAGCCCACCCCACAGCCAGACTGCAGTGCTGAGCACTGGGCAGATTAGACTCTAATCCGTGCCCCCATGTGACCACAGGGTGGGAGGGGGGAGGTGGGGGAGGGGAGGGGAAAGCAGAGGAGGGGAGAGAAGGGAACAGAAGGAAGACTTAGGATATCGAGGGGGAGGGGAGTAGAGAGGGGAAGGGGTGGGGGAGAAAGGAAAGGGAAAGAATGGAGAGGGGGAAGGGTAGGGAAGGGAGGGGAGGGACCATGAGGAAAGGACTCTCAACACACACACACACACACACACACACACAAAC